AATAGCCTAGATGTGCAGGGGAGTGCTAAAATATATTGCCCGCCTTTCTCCATCAGTTCAGATGGATGGGTGAACTGGTTAGTTGCATAACCTTGCAACTAGAAGTTTCATGGTTTAAAACCTAGTAAATGCAATAATTAATTGTGACATGCCCCCGTTTCCACTGCCTATGTCATAGAATCCAAAGAAGCGCACATGTGAGGGGGGCCTCCCTCATAGTTCCGTACTGTTGAAACAACTGGCGGAAGTATGAATTCAATAGAAGAGATTAACCATATGAGGATGTAGGGAAAGGGAAGATATTATGTGTGATATTGGAATGGGAAGGGGAGAAGAAGCGCCAACATCTTTCACCGTTTATAGAATTTAAAATTTCTACAAACATGTTTATCATGTTTTAACACATTTACAATATTTTATAATATACATTGAACTGTTTAAATTCACATAATTTTTCGAAAATGTTCATGTTTACCTTTTCAACCTACACAATAATGAAAACAGGATAAAGATTTAAAATAGATAATAATCAAATATTCATAATTATTGTAATTTATATATGAATAAACAATAGTAAATTGAAAAAAAGGTAAATAACATAAAAGGAAATTGTAGAGCGCCAGTCAAAATTTTTTTTGCAGGAAACCAGCTAGCAGTTGTACTTACAGTAGTCTTCTACCCAGTGGCTAGCGTGCAGGTTTTGAACCTGGACGTCCCATTTTTCAAACCCAGCAGCGAGGCAGTTTGTTTTTCTGCGGTATTAACAGAGTGACACGTGGGACCCATGTTTGGCTTTCTTATGTAATTATTACTAAAAGAATATGCGGGTATTTTTTTGCAAAAAAGTTCTGACGCACACCTCATCAGCTGTCATCCACTGACATGTGGGCCAAGACCACGTGGGCAGGATGTACACCCGAATACGTACGGAGGCACCATACTTGCACCATAAGACAAGTTATAGCACCAATTTCACGTATTTTACAACTTTGGACACGAACGTGACCGTGCCCGACAACTTAAGGCACCTCTGGTGTATTACTCTTTCTTTTAATAGATTATAACATTTTACCTGCCTCGCTACTCAAGATCTCCATGAGCATTCCCATTGTAGGCTTGAATGTTGTTAACTGTGTGCTTCATTCTATGAAAATGGAGCAGGGGAAAACCCTTTCATTACAAAAAAGCATTCCCATGGTTCGCAACTCTCATACATGTGAGGAGTGATTGAATATGCACCAAAATCTGAATATACGAAAATCAAAGATATTCTATGGGGAGACATGTGAGATGCAAGCCAAGACCATCAAAATGGTCAGTTCATTTATTAACCAAGCACCCAAGCTAGAGTTCTATCTCATATTCAATCACAAAATTCAAACTGGGCAAAAGAAAATTAGAAACTCAAAATTACTTGGCATATCCGAACTTGTACGCAACATAGTCTGGTACCCAACTCTCCGTTTTCACAATGAAAGAAAAAAAGCAACATGGAGATTTGTATTCAATCTTGCAAATCCTCAATCTTCACGAATGAAAACCAGATAAACTATATCCGCAGCGGCAAGAAGATCACCTGGGGGAGCCATGACGTGGTTGTGACTAATGCATTCTGGGCTAGGAAAAGAATTATTCTGTTTGTAAGGAGGTTTAGGGTTTGGAACCCAGAAAATGCAATAATTAGTTGCGGAATGCCTCTGTTTCTTCTGCCCACATCATAGACTCCAAAGGAGCATAGATGTGAGGGGGGTGTTGGAGTATAATGTCCAGCGCTCTCTCATAGTTTGGGCTTTTGAATGAGTTGGCTAAAGCATGAATTTGATATGATATCAGAGCCAAGAGGTCTTGAGTTCAATACTCTGCCAATGCAGTATTAAATAAATGATTCTGCGACCTATATCGATCCCATTTCTAAGAACTAAAAATAGCCTAGATGTGCAGGGGAGTGCTAAAATATATTGCCCGCCTTTCTCCATCAGTTCAGATGGATGGGTGAACTGGTTAGTTGCATAACCTTGCAACTAGGAGTTTCATGGTTTAAAACCTAGTAAATGCAATAATTAATTGTGACATGCCCCCATTTCCACTGCCTATGTCATAGAATCCAAAGAAGCGCACATGTGAGGGGGGCCTCCCTCATAGTTCCCTACTGTTGAAACAACTGGCTGAAGTATGAATTCAATAGAAGAGATTAACCATATGAGGATGTAGGGAAAGGGAAGATATTATGTGTGATATTGGAATGGGAAGGGGAGAAGAAGACTCCTCCATCGGTTTCCGGATTTTAGATCGCCTTCATCGGTTTTCTATTTTCTTGGGCCGCCTTTGTCAATCTCCCTTTTTCTTGCAAAATCAGTAATTGAGGAATACTCCTTTCAAAGGTCACTCCGCCCTCCCCATGTTGCGAAGTGGCACACTGCATGTGGGCGACTTGTCGCAACCTCGGATTTTTTTATTTTTTGGTAGATTTGTTTATTCAAAACATTTTATGTTTTAAACTATGCGTCCAAATCACGAACCGTTTTCACTGTTGGATTCCTCGCTTTGAGATCTTCAAAATTAGATCCATGATGATAAGTTTTGACGAAAAAAAATCTCAAAAAAACGAACGAGAAAAATCTGGGTGAAAAACCGTGCCTCTCGCAGAAGAAAAAAAATAGGTTTTTCCCGTTTTCGAGAGGCACGGCCATGCCTCTCGCGGAAGAAAAAGGAATGAAAATGTTTTTTTTTTCGTTTCCGAGAAGCAGGGTCATGCCTCCCGCGTAAGGGAAATCAAAAACTTTTTTTCGTTTCTGAGAGGCACGGCCATACCTCTTGCGGAAGAGAAAACGATCACATTTTTTTCGTTTTCGAGAGGCACGACCATGCCTATCACAAAAGCAAATCCGTGCCTCTCGTCGAAGCAAAACCGTGAATCTCGCGGAAGAAAAAAATCGTGCAAAAAAGTTTGATTTCTTTTGTCTAAAAGTCAAGCAAGACTGGTGGAAAACCAAAAAGCCAAGAGAACAGAAAAAACCTATCTAAAAAGCCGAAAACGCGTGCGAAAAAAAATCCAAATGAAGTGCCCAACCCTCCCCAAAATGACCTGGGGGAGGTTACGAACGAGTGCTCCTCAGCTAGTTGTTCCTTTTTCTTTGACAAGATTTCATGTGTTTCCTTGTAATTCAGGGTGGACACGGTCCGGGCTGATCCGTAGTTTGTACCGGCCGTCGGAGGTCCGAGCCGGACCGGACCGAGCAGCATGACAGTCCTGATCTCAGGGACCGGACCGGCGGCGACGAAGCCCGGGCCAGACCGAATGGACCGAAGGGACCAAATGGGCGGGGTCGATGTGTGCAGGTGCAACGGCGAGTTGGGCGTCGTGCGTGAGTAATGTGACGAATTGGAAGACGTGCGCGAGTGAAACTGATGAACTAGACGACGTGCGCGAGTTGGGCGATGTGCGCGAGTGAAACTGACGAACTGAGTTTTCTAAATCTGACGAAACTGAATTTTCTGAAAGTTTGACAACACATATTTAACTGACAGTCTTCGCGCTCATCCAGAAGAAGCGCAGAGACGAACAGCTACAGCTTCACCTTCAGAGTGTTCAGGATCGTGCCCCAATACTTGCTGGCGGCACCGGCGAGGCGCAGAGCGTTTGGATTGTCTCCTTCAGAGCTGGTGCCCGGTGTGCATGTTTACTGCTTAATTTTCCTTTATATACGGATGTATCTAATACGGGTGTGACTGAGTGTATATATTACAACCTACATGTTTGAACCTTGCTGAGTTGCCTTTCCTGGTTTCTACGAATCTTCAGAATCAGGCCCCGCTCTCAGGCAGTATAAGATTCAGGCCGAACGCAACATAACTTTAGTAACATCATCCAAGGTTTGTATGTAAAAAGTTGACTACAAAGTAAAATCATCTCAAGATCCAACAGGACGTACACTTCCGAAAGCGTCAATCCAAAAAATCTCTTATGTTTGCAGGATAGTTGCATCCGCCAAAGAATAAACATTACGTTGGCAAAAAATGAGGACCATCTTTGGTACACGTTAAGTTAGATCTGCATCACAATCACATAATCCCTAATGTTTCACTTCCTGACTTTTCTGTAGCGCAAGTAGAAATCAGACATGAACAAAGTTGGTACGAGTTACTGCGGTAAGTTTCTTATAACATGTTGGCCAAAAGGAACAGATCTTGTTACTATCAACTAATTAAGGATCCCCAGACCCCAAGTTTCCGGATGCATGAAACTGATAAGATAGTTTGACAAGATGTTTCAAAGAGAATCAAAATGTCCGGAGGAAAAAAACCTCCTTCCCAGCTAGCATAAGGAAAGACGAATGATAGGCAATTGTGATATAAAAGAACTTGTACAGAACTCCAACCGGAGAACAAGAAAACCACTTCTTCTGCAGCAAAAGTATGCAGCACCATGTCGGCACTCGTCCTTGAGGATGCAATTGCCGTGACAGCCATCTGAAGCCCTTTCATCACAGGGTAATTCTGTTTCATGTAAATAAGAAAAAGAATAGTTAACAGAACTGGAAGAGGGCAGGAGGTTACTAAACTTGCATATAAATAATTGGCAATATTTGATGGAAAACATAATATTTGTTGCAAAAGAATTAAATGACTGACTATCCCAGAAAGACATATTTCCTTGTAATTTTTAGTATTCCATTATAAACAAACAACTGGTCAAAGGTCAAGAGATTGATACCACAAGCAAGAGCAAAATCATAATAATGATATAGAATAGGAAAACATGCATAAGCTCAAGGATGCTGCTTGTGTAATATAAGATCGAGAATTAGAACTCACATATAAGCAATAGCATTCTTCAGCATGTAGACAGAATACTTGTTCAAATATGCAGCATCATTCTGAAAATAATAAACGGCCGCATACATAATAGCTTGAAGTTCATAGTTAAAAGCATCAAACAAGTGATAACCAAGGAAATGAAGAAACGGAATAATAAGGTTGTGCAATGAAACTGTACCACTTCATACTGTCCTGGATGACAGTGATGGAGGGAAGCTGGTATATATTGACCTGCTTGTAACGTCAGATAGCTCACACACCCTCTCAAGCTGAAATGTCTTGACATCTAATGAGAGACCTTCAGAGTGGTCTGTCCCAAAATCTAACCTTAGGAGGAGCAAGTACCTCTCGGTTGAAGCAACAATAGAATGATTGCCCGAACCCAAGGGGATTATCTTCTCCAACTGCCACTCATTGTTACTCCCATCTGTGTTTTGCCTAACCATATAACGAAGTTGTGATGCTGCATCATTAATTGAGAAAGTGAGCAATCCAAGCCTGCCTTCCCCTGCCTCCACGACGCCAACCTGGAACCCTCTCCATCTTCCAGGTGGATAATCAGCAACGGAGAACTCCATTGTCATGGTGTCAAGCATGAGCATAGCTTCCCTCGGACGATTCTTCAGCCCAAATTCTATCCCATTCGTCATCGGCCAGTACAAACATCCGTAGGCATAATGACTATGGTAGAACAAACGGTATTTCAAAGATACAATTGGCATGCCGCAGACTAACAAATCGCTCCAAGCCTTTGATGCAATGGATTGCCACTGCCCCGTGGTTGAAGAATAGAAAAATGCCACCACCTTGGTCTTGCACTGTGCCATCCGGATTACACGAAATGAAGTTTCGTACTCTTCCTTGTCCACTTCCTTGCCGGGAGGAACGAGGATGACCTCACAGCTGCGCTGGTAAGTCAGATGGAGTGCGTCCCTCACCGACGCGGCTAGGTCGTCAGGGATCGGTGGAAGCAGGTGGTATCGCCGGTGTAACGGGTCACACACCACGAGCTCCGGGAAGAGGACTGAACCATAGTCTCTCTTGTGGCCTCGGTCGAGGAGGACGCGGCCGTCGCGAATGCTGCGGACGCACCAGCAGCCGGGGTCTGGGAGCAGCGTGTAGGGGGTGGGGCTAGGGAGGAAGGAGAAGGTGAAGTCAGCAGCGCGGGGGACTGCACTGGCTATGGGCGCGGTGGTGTGAGGAGGGAGCGCGGGGCGGAAGCCGTGCCAGTCCATGAAGCCGATGAAGGAGGGAGAGTGTTCCTTACGGAAGCGGCGAAGGAAGGAGTTGCCGGTGGCGATCTGGCGGAAGGGGACGCAGGCGGCGGAGGCGTGGACGAGGTCGGCTGGGGTGGGTAGCCGGAGGAAGATCTCCTCCAGGAGGACGGCCAACCGGTCGTCTGTGGTGGAAGTGCACGGCGCGGCCATCTTCCGGCCGGTCGACGGAAGGGGTTGCGGCTGGCGGACGGGCAGGCCGGCGGGGAGATGGATTGGCCGGAGGTGTTGGGAGCGGCGGATACTAGTAGTAGGATAGATCTGAAGTTATTTTTCGAAGCTTGGCACCGGGAGGTTTGCTGTTTGTCTTAACTTTGTTTTGTGAGCTAGCAGTTGTCGTGTATTTCCCTCTGTCCGAGTTTATTTTTTATTTTTTTATATGAGTGAAAAACTTGTACTCCCTTCCAATTTACTTGCGGTAACTGTCAATTTGGGAAGAAAAACCCACGATTCATCGCCTTCCATTTCCCCTTCCCCCTTCCTCGTTTCCATTTCTCCTCACCGCTCTCCTTCTACTCCTATCTTGTTGCCCCCTTCTCCTCCTCTTCCTTGCCGGTTCCCTGCCCGTGTGGATGCCGCTCCTCTCGACCACACACGCGTCGGCGCCTTTGCGCCGCTGGATTCGCACTACCTCCGCTGGATCCGCGTAAAAGGTTGATTTTTTTACCTTTTCCACGGATCCGGCGACGGCGATGCGCGATGCGGTGCAGTACTCAAAGATCCGGTCACCTGGAAGTCATATCCGTTGGCAGCGATGTTGTACTCGCTATTGCCCAGTCGTCTCCCCAAATGTCGACGCCTCCTGGTGCTCCTCCTCAGAACTCATCTACGGCTAGTGGCCAAGCTCGCTGGCAAGACGGTGCACACCGCAACCCGTGCACTTTGAGTCCGGCCTCGGCTACAAAATCTCAAGGTGAGCTATACCATGCTCGAATCCTCGCCTCCGGTTGCTATTAATAGTGCTATGCTCGATCCATGTTGTTAACTCTGTTTAGGAGTACCCATAGTAAATTATTACGATGTTTACCAAGGAACTAAGAGTAATCGGCTTGGTTCAGTTTCTTGCCATGTTTGGTTTAGTTTTTTCCATGAGTAGGAGTACATGTTGTATTGTTTGCCATGAGTAGGATTACTTGAGTATGTTGTAGTGTTTGCAATACTGCTCCTTTTCATGCAAGTTTGCTAGTCAGTTTGCAGTGTTTGCATTGTTGGAATAATTATTGGAGTATGTGGGAGTGTTTGCTGGATCCCTTGTCGTTTATTGTTTGTGCTAGGGTTATCCCTGACTGGAGTATGGTGAAGTGGAAATGTTGCTTGTATAGGAATGAACGACATATATAGAGTTAACTCAAATGAAATACTCCAAGATGAAGTGGAAATACTTCTTGTATAGGAAATACTACTTGTACAGGAATGACATGTCAATGTCATTGGAGTAGGATGAAATACTGTTTGTAACTACTCCATCACTACAAGATGAAGTATTGTTTGCTTAGGAATGTGATGAAGTTCAGTTTAATTATCATAGGAGTTTAGTTCAGTCCAACATAGGAGTTTAGTTCGATCTTGTTCAGTTAGCCTAGAAGTTTAGTTCCTGATGGAGTCCTGCAGTTAGCCTAGGAGTAAAATGTTGCAACTTTAGACTTTGTTGGATCACTACTCTAACATGAATTTTACTGGAGTAAGTTAACCAGAGTAGGTGCTACGTACTACCATCATTTGAATAAAGTCAAATAATTTAACTGGAGTAATTTTACTTTGTGTGAAATTATGTTAATTAAAATTCAGTCATTGCCACTGTCTTTTGAATGTCATGTTTGTGTATTCCTATGATACTACTCCTGTCATCCGAATATTGTTCGACTTTTTTAACTCAGGTAATGCTTCTCTCATTTGGAGAACAGGAGTAGGAGTATTTTTTTCAACACAGTACAATCGAAGTTGCTCACATACACTCACCCCTATGAAAGCACGCACGCACGCGCACCCTACCCCTATGAGCACTTCTAAGAAACTAAGCCAGCGTACCGTCTTGAGATTTACGAAGTCACCGCAGGCGCCTCGCAATCGACATGAACGTCTCCTCCCAGTGAACAAACATCTCCGCAAAGCTTGAAATAAATCCAGGAAATCCGAGTACCAATGTCAAGTCTAGGACTTGAACCCCGGTCGGGTGGGGATACCACTGTCCTCCTAACCATCCAACCACATGTTGGTTCACAAGTAAGGGTACTCTTGATGTGATGCTGATGTTCTGGAGTAATATTGATGTGTTGTGCTCTTTATATGGAGTATAAGAGTAAATTTTGATTTTGCTTATTGTGCAAATAATTTAGGAGTAGCATTCATTTTTAAGACATGTACTCCAACAATACGAGTAGGAGTAGGAGTAGGAGTATTCCTTTTCCTTTTGCTTTACTCTAAAAGTTCCTTTTCCAATGCTCCTCTTCATTTGTTTTATATAGACTCCATATTCCCTTTATTTTAATGTAGTGATACACAAGATAAATAAGGTTTTTTCCCTATAAATACACAAGATAACACATACATACTCCCCTTTCTTGTCTTTCTCTTCCTTCCTTTTCCATTCTTCTCTTTTCTTTCCTTTCTCCTCCTTTCCTCTTCTTTTCTCCTCCTTTTCTTTTATCTTCCTTTCTTTTCTTTTCATTTCTCCTTTTTTTCTTTCCTTTCTCCTCCTGTCCTTTCCTCTTTTCATTTCCCCTCAATTGTTGTTGTCTTATAATTGTCAATGTTGTATGATAGAGTTCTCCATCACAAAATAAAGTAGGTGGTAGACTTCCTTCCTTATGATTTTCTCTTTATTCATTGGGACATTTCTAGTTTATACCTCCTTCAAGTTTCATAACCTCCAACCTGCATGACTAGAGTGTTATGAACACTCTAGCCAGTTTTTAAACTTGATAGTTATAAAATTCTTCCTCGGCACCTTCGATCAGTTCCCCGGGTCAACACCTCGGAGCTCCTTAGCAACGATAAAATTGTGACGACAACACCTCGGAGCTCAACTCCCCGGGTCACTGCCACATAAAAGACAGGAGGCACCAAGAACAATGTTCTTGTCACAAAACCATCGGAACGATTCCAAGATACTCGCGTGATCCTAAATTTTTTTTAGTGAAATTTGAGGAGAGGAAAGTCAAAACATCTACGTCAGGAGACCTCACCAGAGCGACGAAGGGACTGAGGAGTAAAAAGAATCCTACTCTCTGATATATATAATCCTAAGATTCAAAAATAGTTTTCTTCTAGACTCAACAACGACCAACAATCAAGGGGGCTCATATGGTCGGTCGAGGCTCTGATACCAACTTGTCACGCCCAATATGCGACCCTATCCAAAAGGAACTCGAAGGTCCCACCAAGGATAGACCCGCATATTGAAACGCTTTTGCAAGGTGGATATCATTACATCAACATTACATAATAGATGGGGATACATACAAGAGGCACAGAATGCCACATGAATACAACAATACATCATACACAATATCAACATCCGACTACGGATGAAACACAAATAGAAACTCAAACGACATCCACCCTGCTAGCCTAGACTGCCGACCTGGAACCTATCCCCTAATCGAAGAAGAAGCAGATGAAGAACTCCAAAACAAGTAAACATCGCTCTCGCGTCATGATCATCGCATAACCTATACCTGCAACTGTTGTTGTAGTAATCTGTGATCCACGAGGACTCAGTAATCCCATTACCATGGGTATCAAGACTAGCAAAGCTTAATGGGAAAGGAAGGGGTAAAATGGTGAGGTTGCAGCAGCGACTAAGCATATATGGTGGCTAACATACGCAAATAAGAGCGAGAAGAGAAACAACGGAATGGTCGTGAAGCTAGCAATGATCAAGAGGTGATCCTGAACTCCTACTTACGTCAAACATAACCCAGAAACCGTGTTCACTTCCCGGACTCCGCCGAAAAGAGACCATCACGGCTACACACGCGGTTGATGCATTTTAATTCGGATCTGGTGTCAAGTTCTCTACAACCGGACATTAACAAATTCCCATCTGCCACATAACCGCGGGCACGGATTTCGAAAGTTTAAACCCTGCAGGGGTGTCCCAACCTAGCCCATGATAAGCTCTCGCGATCAACGAAGGATATGCCTTCTCCCAGGAAGACCCGGTCAGACTCGGAATCCCGGTTTACAAGTCATTTCGACAATGGTAAAACAAGACCAGCAAAGCCGCCCGATGTGCCGACAAATCCCGATAGGAGCTGCACATATCTCGTTCTCAGGGCACACCGGATAAGGGAAGCGTACAGGAACCGACGTAATCCAAGTTGCCAAGGAATGGTCCCGCACGGTGCTCTAGTTTGGACCAACACTCGGAGGAGCACTGGCCCGGGGGGGGGGGTAAATAAAGATGACCCTAGGGCTCCGGAAACCCAAGGGAAAAAGGGCTAGGTGAGGCAAATGGTAAAACCAAGGTTGGGCCTTGCTGAAGGAGTTTTATTCAAAGCGAACTGTCAAGGGGGTCCCATAAATCACCCAACCGCGTAAGGAACGCAAAATCCGGGAACATAACACCGGTATGACGGAAACTAGGGCGACAAGAGTGGAACAAAACACCAAGCATAAGGCCGAGTCTTCCACCCTTTACCAAGTATATAGATGCATTAATAATATAAGAGATATTGTGATATCCCAACATAATCCTGTCCACCATGGAGCAATCTTCAACTTCACCTGCAACAAACAACGCTATAAGAGGGGCTGAGCAAAAGCGGTGACATAGCCAATCAACGGTTTGCTAGGAAGGGCGAAAAAGGTTAGAGGCTGACATGGCAATTGGGAGGCTTGGAGAGCAAAAGATAGGTAGTGCAGCAAAGCGATAGAACGAAGCAACTAGCATAGCAATGATAGTAGTGAGATCCAGGGTAGCGGTCATCTTGCCTGAAATCCCGCTAGGAAGAAGAACGAGTCCATGAAGAAGACGAACGGGCGTAGTCGAACGAATCCTCACAATCGCAACATTACCGGAACTAAGAAGCAACACCGGAAAGAAACAAACAACATGGTAAACACATAAGCATAAACATGGCATGATGCACAAACAAGTATGATGCAAGTCTGGTTTAATAAGGCATGGCATGGGAAAGTGCAACAAACAA